TTAATAATCAATTCATGCACATGTCAAAAATGCATAAAGATATCGCAGGACAATTAGCAGAGATAGATTCTTACCAGGATGAGATGCTAGCTGATGCTAGCTGTGCCTGGAACTTTCTCATGTTTAGAATATCTTTCTTTGGCATCGCGAGAGCTTGACAGTGCCGTTTGTAGAGGAGCCAGGCATTGACCACAGCGAGGGTGATGGTGTGCCAGAAGATGTACATGTACCAATGCCGGGATTTTATGGTGAACTTGTATTTTGCTGTAAACGAATTACAGGCTCCACAAATCATTACAGATTTGTGTTATAAGCCACGTTTATAGCATTGTATTATAAACGTGGCTTATAACACAAATCTGTAATGATTTGTGTTATAAGCCACGTTTATAGCATTGTATTATAAACGTGGCAGGCAAATTGAATTGCTGTTTTTTTTTGCAGGAAAATTTTTACCAGATATAAATTCAGTCTAAGGAATTCAATGTGTAAAAAAATTCAGTGTTTAAAATTCGGTGTTAAAACAATCAAGTGTTTAAAATTTAGTATACAAAAAAGGCAGATTAAAGTTAGACTGTTTTTCTTCCTGTCCAGTAAATCGAGGGGATGACGATCAAGCATAAATCTAGAAGTTGTGTGACTTCTTTACCTGAGGGCAGGCCTTGTATATAAATGTGGAACCCAATAGCATTGTGAGACAAAACAATAGGACCCAATGAGTATGTTAATGCAGTTTAAAAAAAAGGGTAGGGGGTGGGGGATTAGGGATGACAAAAAATGCTGTAATTCTGCAACAGTGGGTCCGTTACAGGGATCAGTCCTTCTTAACACTTTAAATGTTCTCACCAAGACCACTGCACTCTTCTTTCTCTTGTTTGAGCATTTCTTCCTATGGAAAGGGAGAGTCTTGGTGAGCATGTTGCCCAGTATAGGCGTTAAAGGTGGTAGAGGGAGACGTGAAGATTGCTTAAACATTCAGCTCCTTAAATATAACTTTGTTTGATGTTTGGCAAAGGTTGACCATTATAAACAAGCATAGCATACCATTTGAGCAGCAAATCAGTTTCATGAACACTGTGCCAAATAAAGCAGGGGGCTCGAGAACGGCGCAGACTATTGGTGCCACTCTTTCTGTTTTAAAAGGTGAAACCATAAAATGATCTGATGCGAGATATCAAACTAAGTATTCCCATGTTTTTTACCTCTTTGCTGTGCGAGAGACCATGCATTCACTAGCTAGGGTGGTGATGTGAGCGTTATAAGATCTAATCTTGGGTATACAGAATGAAGTAGATAGTTCACGTAATGTTCACATGTCACGAGTTAAATTGCACACTTTCTGTACATCAAGCTCAGATAAGTTTTCACTTTTTCAGAGAAAGGCAAACTCCTATCCAATTCTTTCCAATGCCTGCATGTCGTCAAACAAATCAACTATAGTGTTTACCAAATGGCTTTGTTGTACTACACACCGGCTTATTAAAATGGCATCTCATTAGAAGCATTGAGCTGCCGGTTTACATGAGATTAATTGGCTTTTTTTCTTAAAAGCACTTTCTCCTCATTATCATTCAGTCTTGCAAATGGATTTGCTGCAAAGCCAATACATATTCATTTTAGAGAAAGCTTGGAATTTGTTCGGAAATGAGCCAAAGGTGGATCCAGTGCTGATGTGCCGGGCTTACTCAGAACAAAAAACCACAACAGCGTCTAATACAGAGTTGAAAGCTGTTTAAATCTAGACTGATATCCCCACTCTCACCTGACAAATAAAGTAGTTAATGTGTTTGATTCATTAAAATCAGTGATCATGAGCTCGAACCGGATGTAAATTCATACTAACAGAAAATACACGTTGAATATAAAGACTCGTATCAATCCACCAGATGTTCAGGATTATTATTTCCCAGGTTGATGAGTATTTGGATTCAAGGCTTACTCTTGGCTACTTCTTTCATTCCAAAGGCATTAATAATGCAAGCAAACAAGCTTTTAGTGGATTCTGATTTGCTTTCTGAAAAGGTAGAAGGAAATGTGCAACATCCTCTCCTGATGGAGTGAAGGAGTTGCACTTTGATGAAATGAGTAGGGATGTTTCTGCCTCCTTTTATTCTTTGACGTAGTGTTTTGGATGTGTAATGTGTATATTTCAACATCAGAGACACTCGCTTGGTTTGAAAGCCTGCCTGAGGCGGAGAACTAAACAAAAATTTTTCCTTTTGCCAAGTTATGGACTCTTTTACCTGAGGCAAGATGAAGCGCTTCAAAGGCAAAGGGCATCCTTTGTCAGCATCTCACACTGACAGCAGCGGATCCACCTCGAGTGTAATTGCAGAAAACTTCTGTTTCGAAGACAGAGGAGCCCCTTTGGCTCTATATTCAGAAAGGGTTCACTGTGTCATAGATGACCTCTACACTGAAAGATGATGTCATTTGTATGAACTTTTTTTTTTTTTTTTTTTTTTTTTTTTTAAGCCCTTTGGGAAACTCCTCCAACTCCCATTGTCATTGTGACACAGCACACCCAAGTGAACACTGCACACTGTGAAATTGCATTTATGCCTCACCCGTGCAAGGGGGCAGCCCTCAATGGCGCCCCAACTGCAGCAGGGTTTAAGGATTAGAACTAATAAAAATACATATTTAGGTATATTTTGTTTGAAGTACATTGTTTTATTTAATAATTTAAATGTAATGATCTTATATTGGCATCTTACCATTCCAATCTCATTAGAAATCCAGAGTTCAATTACAGTTTTTTTTTCAAAGCCGGTTATTTTGAATTTATTGCCTTGCAAAATGTTGTGATAGGTTTTTATTGGAGAAACCTATTTTTTCCATACATCTAATTTCAGATTTAATATTTGCTTAAAGGCCACAATCTAATACATTGTAATTAGGGATGCACTGATCCCATATTTTTATCGGTATCGGTCCAGATATATAAAAAAATAAACTAGATCGGTATCGGTGACAGTTGACTCGATATAGGGGCCGATCTATTCCCTCTAACTCTATGCTACGCTCTGCTGTCATGCGGCAGCGCAACAGCACAACACGGCCATATTGTTTATGATGGAGCGAGCAAAAGGATCTGCGGTGTGGAGGTTTTTCACGCTCTCTGACCCTACTACCCCTTTGGCTATGTGCAATATTTGTGGGAAAAATGTTCCGAGGGGCGGTGTTAAATCTTCAAACTGTAACACCACCAACTTAATGAAACACCTGCAGAAGTTTCATAACAAGGAACATACTGAGATTATTGGACTCGGCAAACAAAAAGGAAGCAGTGGGAAGCAGCTAACTTTGATGGAAGCAAAGGAAAGAAGTCAAATTTTTCCATGTAACAGTATACAGGCCAAAAAAATCACAGAGATGATACTTGATAATGATAATGACACTTTTTACATTTGACCAAATCAGAGAACTTTTGTTTTAAGATTTTGTGCACAGTTGTTAAATAAATGAGTAATAATATTTATATTTGGATTGTTTCCTATTTTTCTTTAGAAAAGGGAAGTCAAATCATATGCACAGAAGAATTATCCCTGTTTGTTTTGGTTTTTTTTCACACAATAAAACAATTTTTTAGGTAATAATTCAGTAATGTTTTGGGTATCGATATCGAATCGGTATCGGCCGACATTAAACTTCAAATATTGGTATTGTATAGGAGGTGAAAAAAGTGGATCGGTGCAGCCCTAATTGGAATAATTTTCCCAAATGTTTGGTTGGCTGAATAATATATTCTGACAAGTAGATCTTGGTAAAGTCTTTTCCTGCCAAACACTTTATGAACTGTTTGGCAAGTTTTCCTTTTCCAGGTGGATTTTCTTTTGCGCACTTTTAGCCATATATGTTTAAGACAGTCATTGAAGCTTAGTTCTTTGAAAATGGTCGAGGGTCGTAACAGAAAAAGCGTCTATGAAGTGTATGAGAAGAAGAGAAAGGCCTCAAAAGAGAGAAACAAGACCAGATGGTTTTTGGGAGATTCTTTTGTGCGATGGCGTGCACTGAAACCACAAATCGGGCTTCCCACTGATGCCTCTGTAGCAAAGTTTTCTACTCGACAGGTAAAGTTTAGCATGCTATTTGGAGAGATCCATTTCACATATCTGCTACTAAAAGTTATCTACCTCTATCATGGTCATGCATGCTCTCACAAATGTTTAATAGGTGTTCGCATGTGCATTTAGTTTTTTAAGTGGAGACGGTGGGTCTTTTCAAAAAGTAGCGAAAACCCTTCACTCTACCTTTAACTTAAACTTTGTTCTGGTGCAGAAGCTTTACAACTTTGCCAGAAAAAATACTTAGGCACTTACATTAGAATGAAAAATGATTCTGCTGCAACGCTAATATAAGGTTACAGAAAAGGAAACTGGGTAATTTAGTTTTCAGTGGTCCTTTAAACCCATATTTCTCATCACAAATCCCATAGTGCTCAGCCTAACCAAGGTATATAATAGGCTAAAGATGGAAATTCAAGGTCTCTGATATGAGTCCTGAAATTTGTTAAACAACCCACATTGTTTCTCCTGCACAAACAAGGCTGCTATGGTTCGATGATTACAGACACAAGTTCCAGAATAACTAATGAATATCCACCATGTGCTGCTTGTGACTCGTCAGAGGTCAGATACAGACATACAGGCAGGATGGATTTGCCAACAATATGCTGCAGTGTTTAGCCAAAATTTCAAATACAGATAATAAAAAAGCAATGTGTCTTATCTCTGGAACTCAAACCATTCAGAGCATGCTGTCAAGCTAATTTTAAGCAGGTTTATTACTGTGATATCAACGATTTTCTCTATAGGGCCTTTTCGTTAATGAAAGGTTTGTTTTTGATTACCAAAAGAGAAGCTTGGCATGAGTTGCAGAGTCAGGGGATATCGGAGATAAATGTCTTTTAGTGATTGGCCTTCCCTCACATCCCTCCCTCATCAAATATTCATGACACGAGACTAGAGAAAATTCAGGGGATGCAGAGGTAGAGGATATGTTCCCAATCGGTCCAGCAAAAGGATAGGTAGTCAATGGATCAGTGGATAGCTGCTTCCAAGAGTAGTTTGTTATTCGAGACTGGTGAGGCAGAAAACATGGGCTCCACTGTTGAGGTATTGTGCTGCTCGTCTCAATCTTTGCTAGATTATTGTTTTTTGTTGTTGTTTTTTTGCTTGCAGGAGAAGAATACTGTGATCTGTAAGACAGTGAAGGTTACTTTTGAAGTAGAAATCCTTTAAAGATTACAGATGTCTAGATTTAAATGCTGAGCATTTCTGCAGTCTGTATATTTATGCTTTGATTTCACAACTCTCGGATGGTACAGTTGATTGGCTACAGCAACCACAACGTCAATATTTCCTATATACAGATTCTAAAAATGAATCCATGTTATTTAAAGTTTTTTAATACTCTTTTTTTTAAAACAGTTTATGTTGTGTTTCAAAATTATGTATATGCTGATTAAAAATGTAGGTGATTCCCATTTACATTGAGAGTTGCCATATAGTACTATTGGGTAATACTGTAACTAAATGAACTATTTGGTGGTTATTCTTTTGGTTTTCTTTGATTTATCTTCCAACCTACTATAAGCTCCTGAAACAAACCATAGGTGTCCCTTTTCAGACAATTTCTGTTCAATTATTTAAACATGATTCTGTTAATGGAACAGAAACAAGGTGTAGCTCATAACTGTAGTCTGCTTTCCTTGGCGTCCATACACAGCCCAGATATCTATCAGCAAATTGGCTTGATCGTAGCTGATAAACAAAGCGTCCGGTCGGATCATGAGCAGAAGAAGAAATATAGCTTCTCTTCCTGGAGCTACAGCTGTAGAAAAAATGCATTGATTTTCTCAGGATTAATGATTTTATAACTTTTTTTAATTTATTGTCTTCTTTTTCTCTGAGTTGACCGCGGATGAAGCTATGCATCATCTCCCTCTTAAAGGTTGTGGAGAAAATATTACTGTATTTTTTATTTTTTTCAGCACTGTCGCAAGTATAGAGAAAATAAATTCACACTGTGCATTTGATCTATCCTCTTGGGGAGCAGTGGGCAGCATTCTGCAGCGCCCGGGGAGCAGGTTTCGGTTAAGGGTCTTTGCTCAGGGAACCAGAGTGGCAGTTTGTGAGAGTGGGGCTTGAACTCAGAACCTCAGTATTCCAAGCGCAATGCCGTACCCACTAGACCTCCACTCCCCTTGAACACGCTTGGTTTTGTAAATCCCTGTATTGTCCCACAATAGAGAAATTCACTGTCTGCATTTGACCCATCCCCTTGGGGAGCAGTGGACTTCCATTGTGTGGCGCCCGGAGAGCAGTGTGGGGTTAAGGGTTTTGTTCAGGAGCTCAGAGTGGAGGCTGTGTGGATCGAACCGGGCACTTGCAACCCTCTCAGAGCACGAGCGCACTGCTCTAACCACTAGGTCAACACTCCCTGTGTAAGTGTAAAGTGTAAATAATGAATAAATTCCAACTTTTTAATAGTCACAAACAGATTAAAGGCAGTTTTGACTCATCAAGTGAACAATTAACAAGCAATACTCTACTATGGATTAGAACTACTGCGATTGCTCAGGGACAACAAGAGAGAGTGGGGTGTTGGGAGGCGGTTGCTCGTGAAACCTATGCGTATCTGTCCAAAGCGATGCTCTGTTCAATGAGCGTTCCAGGAGACTGGTTGTCAGAGAGCGAGCTGATGGAATTATTCAGAAAAATAGGCCAATAAGTTTCGGTTCACTCTCTGACAGTCACCTAGTTACCACTCAGGTAACCACTCAGTCGATGAGCACCTCCCGGAAATTAGTTTTTGCAACTTGGGATGTCTGAATTTCAGCTAAAATAAGTTATGAAACACATAGAAAACCTGTTTGAAAACAGAGTTCCTTATATGACTTTTATGGAAAATAGCAGCAACTGATAACTTTTGTAAAGGAGTTCATCCAGTGGAGGCTAACAAAGAAACTGGCCATCTCGGCTGGGGTACAGACTAGTTGATGGACTTCACTGCCTTGCTTCTAACACAATGCACAATAAACTTCACTGTTATGATAAATTAGCTCACAAGTCAGGCAGCAAGTCTGAAACCTTTGTAAACATTTTGAAGCCCCAGTCCCTCAAGTGTCTCCACCTGGTAAATCCTAAAAACTGCAATGTCATTTTCACCCAGTTATGGTTATCATTATTATAATTATTTTTTTGTTGTTTCTCTTATCTCTCACTGGACAAAAAGAACAGATGTTTCTCCATTATAACAGAAAGTAGAAGGTACTCCTCCTCCACTGACTACATCTTTTTAGATACAGGTAAAACAAGTTAGGCTGAACAAATTTGTTTACATATCTAATTTGTCTGCACCATCAACACCCAGTCAAATTCCTTGTAAGTACGAACCTGCTTGGAAATAAAATAGATTCTCATTCTGATACTGAAGTTTGTCCCTTTTGGCTACTGTGATCAAAAATGACGATGCCAAATGGCGTCTCCCGTTGGGTGCATCTCCCCCTATGTAGTTATAAACTACTAATTCTAAGCAATAAGGATGCTTTAATTTTTGATTTGATATTAAGAGACTATCATAGAATATGTATTCTTTAAAGCAATACTTATTTTCTCTAATTAAAATTTTTTACGCAATGTCCCTTTAAAAGTCACGCCAATTGTGTTTCCAGAGTCATTTTTTATCTGCTGTATAAGAAATATCAGGTTTTAATGTCCTGAGATCTTGTTATTGCCTAAAATCATGGCTCTACATGCTTGCGTTTAGATTAATGGCAATGGTTAACAGTCTAGGCCACAGTTTGACTACATATTTTGATGCTTTTCTGACCATCCCAAATACTAAGTTTGGATTTTCAAAGGAGACTAATTTTATGTAAATGGATGAAGGGATTTCGGAGTCTAACCGACCTCTTCATAGAGTAACATTCACCCAGTCCGACTCTCTTACAATGTCTTGAACAGGGGCACCTACAGCGACATGTACAGATGGGGTAGTTAGAAATAAAAAATTTCCAATCCCAAGTTGACTACCCTTCCCACTTATCCCTTGCTGCCTATGCGTTTCAGTTGATGCTACAATTTCTTTCAGCTTTACTGGAGTGCAAGAGCTATTCCATTCAAGAACCAGCTTTGTCGGTTCATGTCCAGCTCTTTGGCTGCCCACTCTCTGCTTGACCGAATGCCTCATTTCTTAAGAGCGCTTGGATGTATGCAATGTCATACTGGTTGAAACTGGGCCATCTTATTGTATGCAAAGTATTATTATTTAAGCTCTAGTCTTTTGAAAACCCTGCCAGTACCCCTTTCTCCTCTTTACAAAATATGGAGGGGGAAGATAGTGCATTCTCATGTTATCTGCCACCGGCCTCTTGCCCCTTCAGCTATTTTCTCATTTCACAGATTTGACCAGAAGGTGACCTTGGCTTTTTAAGTGCTTTCAAGGCAGAGCCAAAGTCTCCTCAGCCCTTTCCCCGGCTTCCAAATGGAGACAGAACGAGTGGAAAAGGAAATCTGTTTTCGGCCCATTCCTCAATGGCCATTTTTCTCTTGTGTTGTCCATTCTCTCCCTTGCCTACAGCTACTGCTCAGTTTTTTTAATTTATAGAATAGCAAGATGATGATGACAGGATGTTGTCTGCTAATTCACATGGGTCTGTGTTTCTAAAGTAGAAAATGGCTTCAGGCGAGCATCATAACAGCATATGTTTATGACACATGACGGTGGACAGTAAGGAGCCTGGGTACAGAGAGACACACTGTTCATTAGCCTGCTGTAATATAACAAAATAGAGGAGTTTACAATATTCAAATACTAATCGTCTTGCGTCTGAGGTGTGGGTATAAAATTATTTTATCACCAGCCAACAGCACACTGGGGAAGAGTATGAGACCATATGTGTGTGTGTGCCTGTTTACCAGAGGTGAGCATATTCTTAGTGTGTTTAAAATTGGAAATATGCAGGCATTATCTCAGCCTTCCATCAATTTTCCTCCCAGATGCACCGTTAGCAGCACAATAATCTGGGTCAAAGCGCTAACTGCTACGAAGGGCCGTAGACAGGCCAATTCAGATCAGGTCTTTCATAATCCGTGTATCATTCGTTCTTTCTATTTTCAATTGTCAATCAAAAAACAAAAAATCAAAAATTGACTGGTTATTTTGTTTTTTGTTTTTTATCGTTAAACCAAAAACGAAAAAAGGATTGGTTTTTCATATTTCAATTCTAAGCTCAGATCAAGAATACGAAATGGAAAAACGGACAGCAACGCAGAATTTGATTTTAATATTTAATCGGTACAGTTTACATGACCCGGAAGTTTGGTGGAGCGTTAGCTAAAAAAACAATTGGCTTACTCCCACCACGTTCGATCAAACTGCACCAGATAAGGCAGTCGGACCTATCAGCCATGGACAGTTACGTTTTATTTCGAGGATCCAAGCGTGTGACTCTTGAGGAGGACATGACAACGGAGAAAATTTGCAGGATTTTCCAGGTATAACTTTTTTCTTGAAACTTTTCTGTGCACTGTACTTTTAACTAGCAACAACAAACAGCTTCTCGATCAACATAGTGTGTGGTTCTAGCGTCGCCATGGTAGCCACTTCATTACCCCAACTGCTGCGCAAAGAGCTATTTCCGGGTCACGTAAACTGTACCGATTAAATATTAAAAACAAATTCTGCGTTGCTGTCCGTTTTTCCATTTCGTATTCTTGATCTGAGCTTAGAATTGATATATGAAAAACAAATCCTTTTTTCGTTTTTGGTTTAACCATAAAAAACAAATAACAAAATAACCAGTCAATTTTTTATTTTTTGTTTTTTGATTGGCAATTGAAAATAGAAAGAACGAATGATACACGGATTTTTCATCATCCTTGTCTTTTTTATCAACATCATAACTGGAACAACTCTACAGGTAATTAAACATCAACTTCCAGGGATCTTTCTTGACTCATAAGAGTTAATAAAACCTTTGTCAGTACTACTAAAATAACTTGCTTTACTTTGAGAGATTATGTACCAGGGTCTCACATGAATGAGAGAGAAAAAAATTATTGAAGTTGCAAAGATGATGCCCTCGACAACATGACATTGCAGGCTTTGT